TTTTATGTACGTTTCTTTGCAAAGCTATATTTAATTATAATTTTCTTTAAAAGTATATTCATATAATTGAAGAATATTTTGTATGTACCAGTACATCCACCACATATTTTATTTCACCGAGTAAGTTTTTATTATTTTATTTTTAATTGTAGCCCTTATATCGTGGCTAGCGATTCGGAACGTAATTGTGATATGAAAAATACATTTAGAGAAGTCTACGGTTTTTACCGGCTTATCGAATAAACGATACGAATGGACCCCAGACCGTCACTGACGCGCAATTGACTGATTGTCCCTGGATGTCGGCTTCTTACAGAAACACAGCTTCCCTATCATCAAATGTCACGGCACGCCCCTGTAAACCACCTATCTCTAGCCAAACTAATTTGCTATCTAATTAGTTATTAGGCTCAACATAGCCCAATAGATAATCTGACAGATCATTTGCTAATAGAAATGTGCTGGGTTGTTGTTTATTATGTAAATTACACAATCAATCTGCAAGAAGGAAGTGCAGCTATCCATTCTTTCACAGTTAAGAAAATATTGTGGCAATATAAATTAAAACTTTCAGTTGTATGAAATATGCTGTAAATTCCCGATCTTACAATAGTGGAAGCGATTGTTTCCAATCAAATCCCAACCACTTGTAATGTAATCCGAATAAATTTTCTTTTTAGCGAAGTTTTACATTTAACAAATATTTTATGTATTTATTTTTTATAAAATACAAGGGAAGCGGCGCTTCCACCGCTTCTAATGACGGCACGCCACTGATGTTAAATCACATTATATTCATTCTTTGGTGTAACTGTATTTTATTTTGAAGTCATGTTTAAATACAATTAAATTAAAATTATTAAACTAAATCAATCTAAAATATAAACAATCAAAGTTCCCCCCTCAGTGGGCCGCGGTAAAATTATCAAACGTTGACCGGTCCGCGACGATAAAAAGGTTGGGACTGCTGGCCTAATTAATCTGGTTGCAATTTTACAGAATAATTGAGATAAATTCAACAGGCAAAATCCACTTTATTAGGTTGGTAGACTCAAGATCTTGGGTTCATTTTTGGATTTGCTGCCTCCATTTTACAAATTATCCTTAGCATTGTAATAAATGCTTTCAATTCTATTAGAAATGGATTTCTCTGAATCAAGAATATCATTTACTTTCATTTAATTAAACTTAAATAATTGAAAGAACAATTTGAACCAAAATCATACATTACAGTAAAGTACATTTTACAATAATAAACCAATTAAATGCAAATTAAACTGTCTCCAGATTTGACAGAAATAGACTGTCTTCGGTAAAAGAATTAATTATTCTCTTTCTGTTTCTGTACGGAGCACTTGACCACGATAGGTTAATTATAAAAAATGCTTTTGTTTAATTTTTTAATATTAAAGCCCGGGGGAAATAAGAGGGCCTTCTTTTCTCCACTCGATAAAACAAGGCCGGGCCCACAGTATGAGGTAGTAATTGGCGACAGAGAAGACCTGACATATCTGGGGCAGATGGCCCAAGAAATATATATGAAATTTACTCGCCCAGATTAGATTCTGGGATTCTTTTGTATTATGGCTTATGATTACTCACCATAATTTTAAGACTAATAAAGACGTATATGATCTAAATCAAAATAAATAAACTAACAATTTTTTGGAAAATGCACTTTACTTGTATTTAATTAGGAGCAGTGATTCTTGGATTTGGAAAAAATAACCTGTTAACTTAATTACATATAAAAAGCATTTTAAAGTTAACAAGATATTAATTGTCATGTATGACATACAACTGGAAATTTTGCCTATTAAACCAAGGTTTTACTGTAATATATATATGTATACACTGTTTTCCAAAAGGAATGCACCATAGATTTTGCAGAGAAACCTGTAAGCAAAGAATCAGGGTCAAGTGTATAGTGTATTCGTTATATGATGCATCATTTCAGAAGTGCAATACTGCCAAACTGAATTTGTGCAAACTGCAAGAAAAATATGTGTGGTCAAATCACTTTCAGCTAAAGTAGGCCAGCTGCATAATTCTGTAATTAACCAGTATATTGTAAAGATTGAACTTGTTCTTTTTAACACTTGATATGCAGATGTTAGCAAGAACACAACACATTCCTGGTCTTTTATTGTTATTTTTAGTTTTATTTAAATAAACTGGTAAATAAATTATATAACCAATACACAAAATGACTTCCAACAACTTAACACTTCATTGAGTAATAACAATCCACGAAAAACCTTTTTGTACAAGTGTTATGAGTGTATTTAAAGACATAACACTTGTATAAAAAGGTTTTTCGTGGATCGTTATAACCAATACACTATGCACTTGCATCTGATGCTTTGTGTATAAGTTTCTCTGCACAATTTCCCATGGTGTGTTTCTTTTGGAGAACATGGTGTACTGTACATAAATATACATACACATGTTTTTAATGTTTCAAAGAAAGATTTTAAATTGAACACATCAAAACAGTACATTGACTTAGAAAATAAATTTTGAAATAAAAATGATTTGTGTACTAAACAGAGAAATCTAATCTCTGAAAGTATAAAAATTGAAATTTCTTGTAATTATTAAAATAAATTCAAAAATAATTTTTTTAAGTATCAAGTCAAATGAAACTGAAATAAAATTAGCATTTTATTTAAAAACTTTTATTGCAACATCTTCAAATAGATATCATTTTATGCTCCCAAGTGTAATCTAAATAATTTTTAAGATAATTCATTTCATTCAGAAGCACTATGTAAGATTTGGATACCTTTTTTCCTAAGATGATTATTTCCTGTAAAAAAAAAAAATAAATATTTTGAAATATTTTTTTTCTATATTTTCACTTCCAAAATATTCATATTATTATTATTTATTTATTTTTAATACTAAACACAACAGACACAACATGCTATTTCACATTTTTTTATGCATTGAATAATGTTTCAGAATATACTCGATAGATTATCGAAGTATATTCATGTAATAATTTTTCTTCTCATTGAGCATTCTTTGAGTATAACATATATATACATTACATACATCAACAAACAGAAGAGTTTTGAGGTTTTAAAAATTAAGATGTTCATTAGATTGAAGTAAATTTAGCATCTAGGTTATATTATTAAATATTATTTCAGAAAAAAATTTTTGTGCTACTAACTTTATATATTTTTCTCTTTTTCTTCTTTAATTCATTTGGTTTTATTATATTTTCAGTAAAAAATTTATCAATGTTTATATTTATTATGCAGCTCTCTGCTAAAGATGCCCAATAACTAGTTAACTTTTTCTCTTTAAAAGCCATAGTTATGCTTAACCATTTCTCTGTTTCTTCACTAAAATAATTCTTAATGCACCTAATGATTTTGACAATTTAATAAAATGGAAAATATTTCACTATTTAAAGTATTTGTTGATTAATATTTACCATAATGTCATATTGGCTGAGAGATAAAATTCAATATCATCAGGACTTTGTGGTCTTAAATTATAAGGTGCCTCTGATAATTCTTGTAACATTTTTAATTGTTCACTTGTAGCTGTTATAACTATAACAAAAATTAAATTTATTATTTTTCTAATACAGTTATAACAATGCTGTGGAAATTGTTTTGAAATTATCATTGGACTCACCATTATGATTAAGTAGTTGTAAAGTATTTCCATAATAGAGAGCAATTGCAGAGCTTAAATCCGTAGAAAAAATATAACCATAATACATATTAAGCATCACTACACATTTCGAATAGCTGGAATTATATTATTAATATTTATTATTATTATTATTATTAAAGAAATTTATAATCAAACTTCAATTTAGTGCCATGGTTTTATTGCTTTCAAAATTGGCACTAAACTACGAGGGCTGTTTTTTTCAAGCTCTGATGGTCCATAAAACAAAGGCAAGTGTAAAAAAATGTCGAAAAGTAACCATGTTTGTACCTAACTTTTGGTAATAAATTCATTTTGTTATTTACACTTGTCTTTTTTTTATGGACCATCAGAGCTTGAAAAATAAAACAACCTATGTAAGTATTCAAATGATAAAAATTTTACATGGTTTTCCAAAAACAGAATGCTACCATTTTAACTTACTATAATTTTGTTAATTATTTTGAATTTAATGGTATCTTGCTCCTGTACATTAATTATTACCTGAAAAGTTTGCAATGTACACCAATCAATAGAGTAACTCTCTGAGTTTCATCTCCCATCTGCATTCAAATGTCTTGTTGTCTACAACCTCTAGAAAGGCAAAATGATAACTCTGCAACAGAGAAGATATTTTGTGTTCTGAGGTTTGCAAAGTTGGAATAAGTTACCATTGTGCAATGTGAGTGCTCTGCAGGAGCTGTAGAATTGTAACTTCTCTAGGTGTGACAATAAATATGCTGTAGTGAGTGAGTGTATGAAGAATTTGAGTATTGGTTGAATATGTGCCATGTGACATGAGGTCTGCACACATTGAAAATTATAGTGGACGTTTTCCAATGTTTAATGCACATTACAAAGTTCTCAGGTAATAATTAATATAATTAAAATAATCTACAATGGTAACATTCTTTTTGGAAAACTCTGTATATAGTTGACCCCTCTATAACACTATTGTGAAAATTCGAAGTTAATAAAAGCATTTAGTACTTTAAAAATTTAATAAGTTTAAAATAAAAATGCCCTCAACCAAAGGAATTTGACCCTACAAAAACGAAATATAAAGTACATGAGAGAATTATAACTCTTTTTGTTTAACTATAAACATTCTCACGATCAAACCGTATATAGTTTACAGTTATCGGCGAAATTCGTCATATTGTTGTCATTCTAACACCACCTTTAACCCCACACCTGCTAAAACAATTGATCACCTGACGAATTTTCCCACCAAAAAGGTATAAAAGCCATCCTCCTTCCCCCTCTCCGGGGAGTCGCTAATCAAGAAGTCGCCATCGCACCATCAAGATAGAATTTCGCTTCCCTCTAACCGGCCGCACCACATATTAGAAGACCTTCGATTCCAACCTTCAACTTGGATCCCGCTTTTCAGAAATTAAAGACCTTCGATATCATCGCAAGAGGTATGAACGCTTTATTGTAAGCTCTCTCTCTCATACGCGAATGAGACGTAACATGTTAGAACGTTTGTTTTATTATTTGTCTGTAATAAATTGTTAGTTTAGAAAAATGGTGTCTTTATTCGACTATGCCAACGCCTTATCGTCGGCCCCGTAACTCTCCTCCACTCGCGTAACGCGTAACCGAACGTTACTACCATCCCTGACAAGAAAGTAGGTCACCGGCCAGTGGCTGGAGGGAGAGGACTCCTCTTCCCTCCCGGTGGCTCACATATTGGTGTCACAGAAGTGGGGTTTGAATCTAAAAACCCCTAGAAATATCACACTATTGATTATTCCGTTTTATATGAATTCCATGTACAAGTCACTTAGATTTTAGAAATCTGTGAGCTGTTCACAGCCCGGCACACGTATTTGTAAAATTTGAGTGACTCGTACAGCATGGAATTCATATAAAACGGAATTATCAACAGTGTTATAGAGGGGTTGACTGTATATAATAATGAAGAGAGATTTTCAATATTTTTAAAATGGTTTGAGAAATTTGAAATTTATATTTGAAAGTCATGTGATTTAGTAGTAATAATATCATTGTCAATGCAAAACCTTACGTTCAATAATTCACAGGGGTTTCTCTCTTCTTAATATTTATGAGAAAGAATTATATGCAACTATGCATTGACACTTTGAGAATAATGCTATTTAAGAGGACAGTATATCAAAGTTTGACTGTATTTTTGAAGACAATTTCTTAAAATAAATGTGAAATATCAAAAATTTTGACTAATCTGCTTTAGAAAGATTATTCTATGTTTATAGAAAATGCTTATGTAATATCAAAATTTAAGAATTTTTTAGTAATTTTTCATAAATTGAAACTATTGATTCCACCACTACAGTAAGCTGATATTTCAATGTCTTGTAACCATTTTGAACAGTGTAGAATAAGATTATTCTACACTGTTCAAAAAATGAACAAAATAATTTATTAATAGGCAAAGCATATTCAAATTGCAAAGTTCAGAATATAAAGAAGATGCTCATTAAAAAATGAATCTATTATCAAACAAAATAAAATGCCTTTATTTCATTTCATTCAGGAATAAGGCAAAGTTTTTTTGTGTGAATCTTATAGACAGGCATACATTTCATATACTAGAATCTGTTAAGAGCCCTTTCATTATTATTAATATCAGCAATATACTTATTAAATAAATATATAATATTAAATATGTTTACAAAACTTACAGTCTAGCATAAAAGAGAGCTTGAATAAAAATTGGCATAATCACAAGAAGTACTTTTATGTTTAGAGTATTTGAAAATAATCTAATTCCTTCTAGTCCTGAAAAAATTTAGATATTAATTACTACTATTACATTATTTACAATATTTTTGTATCAAATATTTTGATATTCAAATTATAATAGGAGACGTATATAAGTTATACATATATACAGAGTATTTTTATTAATTATATGTATATTTTATATTGTGGTGATACACCATATTACTGTATATATTTTAGATATAAGTTTAGTTTTAAGTTTTCTTTCTTCTTTGTTTCCTCTTTTGTTTTCTCAAATTTTTGACTAACATTCCTTCCTGTGGGTGGGGTAACCCTTTCTAAGAACCACATTGACAATGGGAAGTGAGAGCACTGAGGCTACTATAACGAATAAGGAGATCATTCTTGGGTTAGACTCTTGGTGAAGGCAGACAAAGGGAGACGAAGGTAGCCTGCAGAGGAGAAAAGACCCTGTTAATGTAAAGAGAGAGAGATGACCGTCCCTTGTACAAGGAAGATCATTCAAGAGATCCAATTAAAGATCATCAGGAAACAAATTATAGTGGTTCCCCACCAGAAGAACATCAATACCAACCAGCAAACCCGGGTATTCTTTATAACCTCATCTTCTATCATATTAAAACTTTTTGTTAATCTTCCTATCCTCTTTTAGTTTATAATTTAGTGTAAGTATTAGTTATAAGATTAGAAATCAGTCTTTCCTTAATTGTTGCGAGCAGGTTCCCTTGATTTGTATTTACTCTATTCCTTGTTCTTATTTTGGATATTCTGTAATGCTCAGAGTTGGAATCCGAAAAAGAATCCTGTATATTACGATTCACGTGAAAAAAATAAATAATTGTTGTTATTTATTCATGTGTGGAGAGCACGTGGATGGGCAACACAAAGAAAGTGGTCTACAACAAAAGTTTTATTGTTGTTCGTGCAAGTATACAATATTCTCAGTGATCCCAACTCCGATACATACAACTCGCGTAACATATAATTATATCGGAAAGAGAGTGCAACAGTACTTCACGACAATTTAAAACTGTACTTAACCTATCTTAACCTAACTTAACCTAATCTATATACTAAATGAGACAGTAGAATGAAGGGAAAATATTAATATTAAGAATAAGAGAAACAAGGGAAGACTGCTGGTGGGGTACCTGTGTTTCTTCTTTTTCTTCAGAGTCCACTCACATCGATGAAAATGAACTACCGTGATCTTCCTTCCTTCCCATGATGTCTCGCTCTCGTTTTCCTCGAATCGCTCCCTTCTCCTTCGTTACGGCGACCAGGATATCCTCGCACTGTCCGTCCTCTCCCAACGCTAGCTCAAAAGTCCGCCTTCACCCCTTCTCTCCTTGCCTCGGGGCCTACTTCCACACCCTTGTTTTTCGTTGTAGTTCTCAGAAATGTTTTACCACCAGCAGGGAAACAGGACCGTTAGAAAGTTCGAGAAAGTGTTAAACAAAAGATCGAGGAAACTTAATCATAGGCTTAATACAAAATACAAATATAAAAAAAAAAACAACTGGTGTATCACCACACATGTACTGCCTTTCATGGACCATTGTACACTTGCAGGATTCTCCACAATATTCTTTGTTTCTTTGTTAGTGTGGACTAGATGAATCTATGATCATCTAGTCCACACTTGGACTCACAGCAATTGCCACCAAAATGCTTCTCAAATGATTCAAGTGAAATGTTTTCGACCATCCACCATACAACCCAGATCTTGTTCCAGTGACTTCCACTTGTTTCTTTTTCTGAAGAAAAACCTTGCAGGACAATACTTCCATGAAAATGATGGGATCAAAAATGATGTTGAAATGTAGTTCAAGCAGCAAGAGGTAGAATTCTACAACTCTGAGATACAGAAACTAGTACCCAGACTTAACAAGTGTTTGGACTTTGGCAGCAATTATGTAGAAAAATAATGCATGTACTAATAAATAAAGGGTAGTAGACATTTAGTGAAATAAAAATGTTTTGAATGAATACTAGCCATTGTATCTTTACTTTTTGAACATGCCTCGTAAATGCAGCAAAGCCTAATTCAGTGGTGCATTATGGCTTCATAGGCCCAAGAAAATTTGAATTAGAGGATCCCATGTAAAGTGTTGACTTCAAACATTTTTTTTTTTTTTTTTGGCAAATTTTTGGGAGGAATCCCCTAGTATCCTTGTTCATTTTTAATGCAACTTTTGCACTGTGCCATGTCAGTAATCTAGAGTCCCCAGCCTAAATTTAACTTTTATACTCTAACTACAGTCATGAGTTTATAAAAAATTAGTTTGAGATCCCATCAACAGGGGCCCCAAACTCCTTTTTGCCCATAGAATAATGCACCACTGGCTCTCTTGGTTGTTTTTGTTTGAATTCAATTTTTACCAACTGGCAATATAAAAGTTTCAAATAATACAATTGCTTTGATACAAATAAAAAAAACTGAACCAAACTTGATGATTTTGACAAAAGTCGAATTAATTTATATAAAAGTTGAGACATGTTCTCTCTGCTTAATCTAATAGATTACTCCAAGACAGCATTATAGTGAATCAAAAGGAAAAGTACAGTAGTTGAAACTAAACATGTAGTTAAGTATTAGTTTAATTACTAAATTTGGATAGTAATTGTAATTAGTAGTTAACTATATTGGGCATAGTTAACTACATAATTTAATTATGTTAGCAGTTAACTACAGGTATTCCTCATACAACATGGTTTCGCTCTAACACAGTTTGAAAATTGGGGATATCCCATGTACAACACAACTTCTAGTTTCACTCTAACACAGTTTGGAAAATTCTCCGAATTATGTTATTTGATATATTTTTTTATTTAAGTAAGCATGCATATTTTCTCAAATTTGCCCAGGGATTTTAGAATATTAAAATTTTCAATTTGTTTTGTGCCTTTTGTCAGATTTACTTTAATGAAACCTGAAAGTAAAATTTTCTCTTCCTTGTCCTAACTTTCGTAGTGCTCCACCACTATGGTTATTTTGGTTGTATTAATTTTGTAAAATTTGTAATTGTGTTCCGTTTGTTAAATAATATTGTATCGGGTTTTTCCTTTTTTCTTTGTTACGCATAACATAATGCTGTACACTCTGCATCACCTTTTGGAGGTAAAAAAATCGTGGCTGTGGACTGGTTAAGTGAAGCTCACTTAGGTGAACAAGTTTGCAGATGGTGGAAACTAAAAAAAAATGCTTGTTCCACATGTCAGAGGACCTCTTTTCCCTTTTTCCGTGGACTCACCTTCAATGCTGGACTGCACTGTCTAGACCAGGGGCGGCCAACAGTTTTTGCCCCCAGGCCAAATTGGAAAGAAAACTTTTTTTCATGGGCCGAACCAGAGGCTGCCCTAGGAAGATTTTGAGGTGGTGCGAGATCTCATTGTGGGTGTCACCCTGTAGAGACTAAATTGTACATAGAGATTACAGATACATTTTTTACCTTATGCNCGGGGCCTACTTCCACACCCTTGTTTTTCGTTGTAGTTCTCAGAAATGTTTTACCACCAGCAGGGAAACAGGACCGTTAGAAAGTTCGAGAAAGTGTTAAACAAAAGATCGAGGAAACTTAATCATAGGCTTAATACAAAATACAAATATAAAAAAAAAAACAACTGGTGTATCACCACACATGTACTGCCTTTCATGGACCATTGTACACTTGCAGGATTCTCCACAATATTCTTTGTTTCTTTGTTAGTGTGGACTAGATGAATCTATGATCATCTAGTCCACACTTGGACTCACAGCAATTGCCACCAAAATGCTTCTCAAATGATTCAAGTGAAATGTTTTCGACCATCCACCATACAACCCAGATCTTGTTCCAGTGACTTCCACTTGTTTCTTTTTCTGAAGAAAAACCTTGCAGGACAATACTTCCATGAAAATGATGGGATCAAAAATGATGTTGAAATGTAGTTCAAGCAGCAAGAGGTAGAATTCTACAACTCTGAGATACAGAAACTAGTACCCAGACTTAACAAGTGTTTGGACTTTGGCAGCAATTATGTAGAAAAATAATGCATGTACTAATAAATAAAGGGTAGTAGACATTTAGTGAAATAAAAATGTTTTGAATGAATACTAGCCATTGTATCTTTACTTTTTGAACATGCCTCGTAAATGCAGCAAAGCCTAATTCAGTGGTGCATTATGGCTTCATAGGCCCAAGAAAATTTGAATTAGAGGATCCCATGTAAAGTGTTGACTTCAAACATTTTTTTTTTTTTTTTTGGCAAATTTTTGGGAGGAATCCCCTAGTATCCTTGTTCATTTTTAATGCAACTTTTGCACTGTGCCATGTCAGTAATCTAGAGTCCCCAGCCTAAATTTAACTTTTATACTCTAACTACAGTCATGAGTTTATAAAAAATTAGTTTGAGATCCCATCAACAGGGGCCCCAAACTCCTTTTTGCCCATAGAATAATGCACCACTGGCTCTCTTGGTTGTTTTTGTTTGAATTCAATTTTTACCAACTGGCAATATAAAAGTTTCAAATAATACAATTGCTTTGATACAAATAAAAAAAACTGAACCAAACTTGATGATTTTGACAAAAGTCGAATTAATTTATATAAAAGTTGAGACATGTTCTCTCTGCTTAATCTAATAGATTACTCCAAGACAGCATTATAGTGAATCAAAAGGAAAAGTACAGTAGTTGAAACTAAACATGTAGTTAAGTATTAGTTTAATTACTAAATTTGGATAGTAATTGTAATTAGTAGTTAACTATATTGGGCATAGTTAACTACATAATTTAATTATGTTAGCAGTTAACTACAGGTATTCCTCATACAACATGGTTTCGCTCTAACACAGTTTGAAAATTGGGGATATCCCATGTACAACACAACTTCTAGTTTCACTCTAACACAGTTTGGAAAATTCTCCGAATTATGTTATTTGATATATTTTTTTATTTAAGTAAGCATGCATATTTTCTCAAATTTGCCCAGGGATTTTAGAATATTAAAATTTTCAATTTGTTTTGTGCCTTTTGTCAGATTTACTTTAATGAAACCTGAAAGTAAAATTTTCTCTTCCTTGTCCTAACTTTCGTAGTGCTCCACCACTATGGTTATTTTGGTTGTATTAATTTTGTAAAATTTGTAATTGTGTTCCGTTTGTTAAATAATATTGTATCGGGTTTTTCCTTTTTTCTTTGTTACGCATAACATAATGCTGTACACTCTGCATCACCTTTTGGAGGTCAAAAAATCGTGGCTGTGGACTGGTTAAGTGAAGCTCACTTAGGTGAACAAGTTTGCAGATGGTGGAAACTAAAAAAAAATGCTTGTTCCACATGTCAGAGGACCTCTTTTCCCTTTTTCCGTGGACTCACCTTCAATGCTGGACTGCACTGTCTAGACCAGGGGCGGCCAACAGTTTTTGCCCCCAGGCCAAATTGGAAAGAAAACTTTTTTTCATGGGCCGAACCAGAGGCTGCCCTAGGAAGATTTTGAGGTGGTGCGAGATCTCATTGTGGGTGTCACCCTGTAGAGACTAAATTGTACATAGAGATTACAGATACATTTTTTACCTTATCATGCTTTATCAACATTCTACGCTGTACTTAAGAGATTTGTAATGGACGGTTAACTCTAAACGTACAGTGAGTTGTTGACCTTTTTTTTCTTAGGCATCAGAATTTTTCATCAAGCTATTTGGACTTGAGTAGCTAATATTGAAAGATTAATCATGGGCCGCATAAATTCATTCAACGGGCCGTATGTTGCCATGCCTGGTCTAGCCCCATCCGGAAGGTTATCATGAGATATGATAAGAACAATAGGATATCGGATGGCTGTAGGAAGTGGACAATCCAACCTCATCAAACAAAACTTTCCTCCAATGAACAAGTAATTTAAGTAGGAATATACTTAGGAATCAGGTTGACTCATTGGGACATTCATTCATTCATTCATTCATTGTTTATTATGAGGTACACAAATCGTGTTACATACCTGGCTCCGCAGGAAGCACTACCAGGTTACAAAAACGTGACAAGAATAACATTGATTACAGTTAGGTTAATATAGGTTAGGATAATATACAATGTAAAAAATGTGGAGAAATTGAACAAGATATACATATGCAAAATACAGAAAGAAATGAGAACAGATACAAATGGATATACAAAATATGTACATATGCAATAAATGCAGATACAGGCAGGATTGAATAGAAATAGGATTGGGACAGTTATTTCATCAATTCTGCAGTTTGTAAACTTATTTTATAACCAAGCGTCAATCACATGTCGGCAAACAAAGAGTATTGGATTCTGCCAATTAATTGTATCAAGAGAATGTAACAACCTGGTATATCAACCTGTAGATAAGTGTATAGTATATTTATGTATATAAATTGAATAATCATGTTGTATCAATATTAGTGTTTAATTTAGAATTAATTATGTATGTAGTGACTAAGCTCAATTTAACTGTATAACCAATAAGTTCGTCATTTCAAGCCTTGAGCTGTTTTTGTCAATTGATGTTATTAGTATTAAATATAGTTCCATGAATATGTGTCCTTGGTTTTGTAAAGTCCTCAATCATTTACCCCACAACAAGACTGGGTATACTTCGGTATAGCTAAGTCACTACACTTTTCTATCAACCAGGTGTCATTGTCGTTACTTTCAGACTTTAGCCCTTAACACTGTAACCAAATTTTGATTCTATAGATTAATCTTTGTATTTAGTAAAGTTTATTTAAATAAGTGATAATTAGGTAAGTGTTATTAAACTTTTTATAAACTGCAGGTAAGGGTAATCATTTGTAAAAATGACAAATGAAATACAATGATATCTTGGTACTCAAACTGTTCCAAACTGAAACAATTCAGTATTTAAGCACAAAATCTGGAAAAAAAATCACTTGGTACTCGATTGAACAAATGATCAATTAATAACAATTTTATTTTTTCATTCATAGAAAATTATGAAAAAACAAAGATATGTGGATATTTCTGATCAAGATCAACAAAAAACTGAGATTACAATTATACCATAAAAAGAAAACACCTTTGTTTAACTAAAATTAATATTAACAGTACTTTTAATTGTGCTTATTAGTTAATTATTGCTAATTAATGATGTTTGATTAGTTAATTATTGATTGAAAATAAAGTATTGATTGTTTAATAAACATATTTCTTTTAGTAACAAAAAGAATAGTATACATTTGTTAACTTCTGGAACCTAACTCTATGTTTTGCATTAGTCCTTTGTTTTGTATAGTACAGATTTGCATAACAGGACACTTTTTCTGAATGTATCTACTATGTTATATGAGGGATACCTGTACTACCATATGTAAAAATGTATAATACAGTATAATGCAAAAGCATTCCCTTAGAATTTTTGAGAAATTGAAATTTTTGAAAATAATACCTAGATGAATGCATCGATCTACATTTCCATCTATTAATTCTAAATACATAACATTGTAAAACATATCCCCAGTAAATTTCATATCTTCAAGAGATATATTTGAAGTTGTCTTGATATAATTATTGCAACTGAAAAAAAAAAAAAGTTTAATCCAGTAGACATGAAATTATAACATAAATCTTGCCAAGTAAACTTACTATTCAATTGCAGATTCTGCCATTTTAATGTGCATTTCAACTGCTTTCCAATTCTTAAAATACTGAGCTTTAAGCAACAATATAAGAGAATCTATAAACTGAAAAAAAGGAATTGTTATTATTCTAGCAAAATAAATTTTACTAAAATAAAATTAGATTTAGATATACAGTGGTGCCTCGTATAACGTACGCCTCGAATAACGGACGCTGCGATTAACGGACTTTCTGTTTGACCGTTACGTGACTCGAGCAACGGACTTGCTGCGAACAACGGACTTTCCATTCGGCAGTTACGTGAGACGAACAATGGACTTTTTTCGAACAAGTGCGAATGATGTTTCCACTCTTTTGCCGTTGCCAATGACAATCTGCTNATTGTAATCCCATCCAAGGGAAAAGGATTAGAAAGGAAAATTCTAGAAAAATTAGAACAAAAGAACAAAGAAAATACTAAGCCTAACTTAAATTAAAAATACAAAATATACAATAATATGGCTGACAGCCACAGAAACTTATCAAAGTCATGGTGCTAACTAAAGTTTTATTGATTTTCCTTAAATTTTCTTTTTCTTTTTTCTTTCTGCATTAACATATTTAAGTGCTCAATATTAAGCTAGTATTCTCCCTTGGATGCCTTGACATAACTTCCAAGAACACTGTTCATATGAAAAACGTTTTTATTAAAATGGATTGAAATCTAAATTTAGACTCAACCTAATATTTACACACTCTTCTTTTGTTGTGGGTCTTGTAAGGAAAAATAGAAATAAAAAATACATAGGAAAGCATAAGAATAAATTAGAATTATTGCCAATAACAAAGATTTAAGACTATTAAATCTAGAATAACTAAGTACAGAGACTTTGTGTCAACAGTACATTTGTCTAACTGACACATAGATTATGTTGAGTTTTCATGGAAATTCCAAATTCCTTTGATTCATTCAGAAATTTTGAGGTTGATTATTTTTGTTTTTGTTCCTATGGGAAACTTAGTTTCATTAACATTTTCTCTTCAAGTTTTTTACTCTTTTTTATCCTCTTCTCAGTCAATTTCGAGATATAACTACAGTAATATTTGTATCATCATAGAATTTTTGTATTACATCATTTGTGAGTTTCATATATTATGCCCATTACTCAAATGTAAGCATCTGATAATTAATTAACCTTCCATTGGTGCATAAATATGTCAGATAAGCAGGATCTTTTTTCATCTCTGGAAAGTGAGATGGAGCTATAAGTTTCCCTTCTGACTACCCACCTAATGTTAAACCTGAAACACATCAGTATGTATGAGACTGTTGACATGGTGTATGGTGAATGGCTACACATTTTCTCTCTCAGTGTGATCCAACCATTCTAACATAATATATTTATAATGTTTTGCAACAATTAGTTATTTTATTTATGCTTTTTCTTAAATCTTAGAATGATTAATGTTTTGCAGAAACTACATTGTCAGTATTTGAGAGAAACATGTGGCATGCAAGCCATACTTTGACCACATCAATCTATTAAAATACAAATGACAACATATAAAAAACTCAATAGACAAAATAGTAGATATAAATACAAAAAAAATATTTCACTTTACAAAAATTTGCTTAATCCAATCTTCCAGATAATCTGTTTAGATCATCTGTATAATAAAAATAATCCAGATTTTAAAAAGTAATGAGTATAATTAAATCTTAAATTGGCTGAATTACTAAATAGTAAATAATACACATAATTTACAGAAATATAATTCTATAAACCTACTTCAACATAAGTTTTTTCTATTTTATTCATCAATAAATTTTGATATTTGGCAATATCATAAGCAAGAGAATATTGTTTCTTTTCAAAATATATCTTTACTGCTATTGCAAGACACCGACATTCTTCTAAAACTTCAGACTCTTTTGATCTGTTCATAATTTAAAGTGAACAATGTATTAAGTAAGTATTGATTTCTGTTAAATTAAATAAACGTGCAGAGTTTAAACATATACTTTATTTCCTCAGTTAAACTTTTGGGGAATAAAGATGCTTTTAAAAATAAATCCCAAGTTGAAAACCTTCAGTACTGTTGAGGTACTGCACTGTTTAGGGTAATGTAGTTTAGTGTGGCAGGTAAAGAGTTTAATTAAGATTCTTTCTCCTCAAATTGTCTAGAGTTAGACAGCACTGTCTATTCCAGGATTCACAGAAATACTTTTTTGAAATTAAATTATAAATATCGTCAAACATTGAGGATGGGAAAGTTATGATCAAGTTCATAAATCAAGAGCTTATCAGCCAAAAAATAATTAGGTTAAAGCTCTTTACTACCTTCTTGATAAAATTCACCATCTCTTTTGGAAAGAAGTGGTGAATTTGATCCATAAGTTAGTAAAGAGCTTGATTCCTATGAAAGCATCAAAGCAGACATGAATGACAATATAATAACTGAATTGGAAGACACTGAATCAAGTTAAATATAAAAACATTAATTACAGTATTTCAAATGTAGCTATAAGCTGTAAATACAGTCAACAAAATAGTTTTGATAATTTGGAAAATGTATAAATTAGCTATTTCTTTCAATTTTTATCCACTTGTATTCTGCTTCAAGGTCACAAACCCTGGGGATATGTATATTTTAAAAATAAACCTCCAGAATTTAATTGAGGAAATAAGGTATTTAATATTGCATATTTTATAAAGAATAAAATACACACTATCAAATAATACATGAAAATTCTTATGAATTTATAATCAATAGAAAGAATTGTAGTGTGTCATTTAATTAAAGAAAAAAATTAAGTATCAAAACAATGGACTTTAACAGATTTTACATATCTGCTAATAATCAGTTTTGTAAAATTTTTTGAAAAAACGGTTATATCCGTAGAATAAAATGACTATCTTGTTAGCTACATATAACTAAAACTTTATTACTATACAAAGCGTAACATTGTGCATACAGATCCAAATGTAGCCACAGCTAGTGCATGACTGAGATTGTAGATATGACAAAGGTCAAAGGTATGGAGTCGCCTGACCAGGTCAAGGGGCAATTTGATGTGGTTTATTGCCTGGCAGTTTACATACATGATAATTCTCCCATGCTTAAGAAAATGCTGTTTATGATTTGTTCACTTAAGGATTTAGGCATTGTACTGGTTTTTGTATTTGCATAAATTGTCAAGGTTCTGATTTATTTGAGTTTGTCAGCATTCAGTTAAATTCTTCCTCTTCCTTCTCTGGAGGCTGTTCGGAAGCTATTTTCATCATTGTCTCCTTTTTTTTTTTTGGGTAAAGTCATTACAGTTCTTTTATCGTAGCTAATTGTGCTTGGGTGTAGACTAGTGCTAGCTGGAGATAAATTTCTATTGTTTACTATGTCATTGCACTTATCAATTTTCTTTTTGCTGAAGTTAGATCATATCTGAATAGAATTTGCCTGTTTGTTAATTTCACACAGGCATAGTTGATCATTAAGTTGATCATAGTTGAGGCGTAATGCCTTTTTATTAAGTAGCCATCATCGAGTTCAAACCTTTTGCAGGATTCAATACTGTACTATAATTACTGCTTTATATATCAAGTTTGTCCTAACCCACCTATGTGGCCAGAAATTGTAAATCCTGAAGGTAACCATATAAGTGAGGCCTTACTGTATTATGTTATTTATATAACCTTAATGTTAAATAATTAAAATATTCTTTTAAAAGTCTTACAACATAAGCACTTTTTTAGCAAGTTTCTCTGTTACATTTCTGTAAAATTTTGGATAAGATCTACCCAATATGTTTGCTACTGTTTTTATATCATACAATGCAACTTTAAATTCTTTTTGAAGATAATTAATCTGAAAGGAGAAGAAAAATTATTAATCTTTCCTTCAGAAAATTTAAAAAATAACAAGTTAAAAATAACATAATTAGTTTACCTCAGCAGAAATTCTTTTTGCAACAATAAAAATAAAGGGAGTCTTTAGAATATAATCATCTTTCTTATTTGATATAATTATATTTTCATTCTTATTCATCTTTTTCAGTAAACTATTTGCTTCAGAAAGACAATGAGCAGCCTGAAATATTATTCAAATATTAAGGAAATTTTGTTTATATTGAAGATAAAACATTTATAAAAATATTTTATAAGAAAATGTTCTTATAAATGTTTTATCTTTAATTTTAAAAACACAAAAGTTTAAAATCATTTTATAAGAAAATGTTCATAATTCAAGTAAACTTACAAATTTAATAAAGAGTTCAGATACTAACAAAATATTTCTAATAATACAATGTTAAGTTTAAATATACTAAATTAAAACTGATAAAAAGACCATAGCAAGATAAGCATAGTGAATTAACCCCAAACAGATAATGGGTAAAAACTGGTTCAAAAGTAGGTATCAGTGAGTGATTAATTACTAATCAATATTAGACAAAATTTTCATAAATTTCAAGCTTCTGTACAAAATATGAGTTGTGAATTTTTCAAAATATCAATGTTTCTTTGCATCAAATTGTAAAGTAAAAATATAAACCTGACCTTCAAGAGCAAGGAAGCACAACCTATTGGTAAACTAATTCTGTGGATTGACATCAGAAGTCTATTTAAAATAGTTGAAAACATTAGTTTATTTGATTTAATTAAATAAATTGCTAGAAAAAAGGGAGAAAGGTGTTTTACTTATTAAAGAGAGAAAACTTATTAAAGTAAAAATATGTCATTTCTGAAAAAATGAGGTTCACAAGATGATGCATATTAGAAAATTTTTTGAAGTGAGATTTAAATGGAAAAAAATTACTTTTCAAAAAATGATTTCACTGGCTTAGGATGACAAAAATTTCAAAAATTTTTAGGGAATTTTATGTTACTGTACATTATATTATAAAAAAAAAAGTTATCAAATATCAAAAAAGAGTTATCAAATATATCAAATATAAAGAGATATCAAATATATCAAATAATCAAATCAAATATCAAATATTTCCATTATAAAAGACATTGTTAATGTGAGAAGCCATGTTCGATATAGACGATCTATTGAACAGTTATCAGCAACAAGTCGGTAAGACTTGCTCACGTTGTCACTGGATTGTTTTATTGTTTAAGATAGACTAAAGATCGTGAGATCTCAGCCAAGTCAGGATGCTGACACCAGTTAGGATAGTAAGAATTATTAATGTATCATGTCCTAACTCACGATATTAAACTTTAAAATAAATATAAGAAGGAGGGCTTTAAATTCAAGTGGGGAGGTATCATAAGTTCATTGATAGGTCCATACATATTTGAATTGACTAACATTGAGATTAGTATAATGAACAAATAATGAAATTTAATAAAAATAACAAAAATAGGATACAGACGTTTGAATAACTAAATAAATACTCCTAAATATTTTTACTATTCGCAAGAGAGAAAGAGAGAGAGAGAGAGTTTACAACAAAATAAATATAATACCTCTGAATATTATATTTAATTCATTCAACTACTAATTGAACTTTTTAAGGAAGTAAACGTTTGGAAATGGAAACCGTATTTCCTTATCCTCTCTTAATTTCCCTCAAAAAGTGGAAAAGTATACAATTTAAATATCAAAATATTACTTTGATTTAAAAATTTAGAAAAATAAAATGAACCTCATATTCAGATTCTCACATTAACATTAAATCATGTAACTTTCAACCTTCAAATTTAAATGTATGTACAGTACAGTACATATGGTATTACTATATACAATGTTATTTTTTAAAACACTTGAGTTTAGCTCCATACTCAATTTTATGCCACTTTTACAATTTTACAAATCAAAACTAGTGCCAGTGTGTCATCTCAGTACAATAGGCAAATTATTAGTTAGTTTGTCACACAGGTTACAGTACTTTTTTTTTACACTGAAAAAAACAAAAACAAAAATTTTGAATTATTTTTTGTTCTAAAAAACCAAGTCTATGACACTAAAATGGCAGTTTACATTTGATAGAACATGTATCCAAGACTAGTATTCAAAAACAGACTGTGAAAAATCTTTGATTTGTGACCATGACATTGAAAAATGTGAACGAGAGAGTCCATTTTCCAAAAAAATAGAAAATGTCCAATAACTTGAAAACTATGACACTTTTACTAAACACAATGTTTAATTTTCTGAACAGTCATGATATCCCCTATCCACAGGTAATGGATTATCCACTCTTTATGCCACAACCTGTATATACTGCATTAATCAAGTGATACTGATACACAGGTATCAGTATCACTTGATTAATGCAGCTAATTAATCCTCAATGCCACCATGTATATCAAAATTGCATTAACAGTGGTATCTTGGTACTTGACTGAACAATCACAACCCTCTAAAACAAATTTTCAGTTAATAACAAATATTTGGGCTGCAATTTTAAAAAATTGTTACCTGCAATTTCACATTTCATCCGTCCATCTGGCTGTCTGTCTTGATTAATCTTGAGAATGGAGTTAGACAGACAAAAGCCTAGACCAGATATGCAAAGCTTAGGAGCAGGAGATCCCGATTAACTATATACAAACTTCCAGTTTGCACCAGAAGTTACATTATTTCAATTCAAAAATTTTCCTCTGTAAAGAGTTAGCTAGATAATGACATGACTATTGCTAACAGGAAAAGTATGATGTACAGGGACAAGACACTACTAATTTGAGGTGGAAAACATATATTTTAAATTAAATAAATTAAAAATATAATTAAAAATTGAAGCCTGGCATTGTGATGATGTCACAATAAATAATTGCTTGTNAATTCACAACACTGTTGAATTTAACAAAAATCTTTTTATTTATTTATTCCATCACATTGTTTAAAATGTCTTTGTTTAATGCTATTATTATTAATTTGCTTCTATGTAGTGTGGCTGTTGGCCATAATATTGTATATTTTATATCTGTTAATTTTAGTTAGTCTTAGCCTTTTCTTTGTTCCTTTGTCTTCACTTTTTCTACAACTTTCCTTTTCAACCCTTTTCCCTTGAGTGGGATTACCGATTCCAATAAATTAGTAGTAGAACAAACGAAGACTAAGTAGTAAAACAAACTGTCTCTCTCACCGTTCCCTTTCTTTGCCCCAGGGCAAAGAAAGGGAACGGTGAGAGAGACAGTTTGGGCTCAAATTCCAAAGAGTTAGGACGGAAAAGAGATAGTGCTCCAGATCGAGTGTAGGATGATTGGAGACTACGAGGAGCCAAGGAATTGATAGGAAAGAATTCCTATAAGAGAACTTTGAAGGAAGCTATTGAAACAATAATATGGAAGGTCTACTGGAAGGATGAGAAGTAATGTTCCAAGGAAAGCTCCAAAGTGGTGTCCCACCCAAGATTATAAACTCAAGAAAATCCCGGGTATTTCCATCTTCCTCTTATACTATTCTTATTCATCTACTCTCTTCTTCCTGCTTTAGTTGTAAGTAGTATAAGTATTAGTTATAAGTTTTGCCCCGCGTATAGTTGTTGCACCCAATTAACTTGCTGTTTGTTAGATCAAATTTTAACACCTGTGTGTACAGAAAACATTTGTAGTATTGGAATCCAAAAGAAAAAAGTACCTGTTCAAAGCGATAATAAATTACATTGTGTTGAAAATCTAATGAGTATTTATTTGTATCATTCCACTCGCGGGACCTTGTACTTGTCGCAACAAACATCACAATAGGATACTGAATCTTTTACTATAAGGATCAACTTTACATAAAGCTGTTTCAGGATATACTTTTGAAATGTGATGTTCGATGCAACGAGTATGTGACCCCACAAATGGAATGATACAGAAAATACATGTAAATAAGATTAACATAAAATATTTTATTTTTGCTTCAAACACGTTCTTAATATGATGATCCCAATGTACAAAACAATGATTTATGTACAGTTCACACAGGCATTGGATTTTATCTCCCGAACAACAGGTCTAATAAAATGCGACAAATATATGCGGGGTGACTTAAATTTACTACTTATTCTACTTATAACTAAAGAAGGAAAGGAAAAGTAGATGTTTAAGGACAGTGAGAGGGAAAGATAAAAATACCTGGGATTCCTTGGCTTCATAATCTTGGGTGGGTTACCGTCCTGAGGTCTTTCTTTGACTGTCATCTTATTGTTGTTCCTGTACACCTTTTTGTATGGTATTCTCACAATATTCCTTTCAAAGTTCCTTTCTGGGAAGTATTTGTTTCTGATTCCAATGGCTCCATGTAGTCTCCAATCATCCGATCTGGAGCACTATCCTTTTCTGTCCTCACTTGCCTGAATCTGACATTTACTCTCATCTCTAAAGCCCTCATAGTCTCTGATCTGCCTACATGTGATCTCGAGCACTACCTTTCCGCACGTCTTCTCCTGAAGAGCTCTGACCAAAGACTGTCTTCCCACCTTTGTTTGCTGGCCCCAGGACCTTACCTCTTCTTTTGTTCCAACTTGCACTTCTTGGAATTGTAATCCCATCCAAGGGAAAAGGATTAGAAAGGAAAATTCTAGAAAAATTAGAACAAAAGAACAAAGAAAATACTAAGCCTAACTTAAATTAAAAATACAAAATATACAATAATATGGCTGACAGCCACAGAAACTTATCAAAGTCATGGTGCTAACTAAAGTTTTATTGATTTTCCTTAAATTTTCTTTTTCTTTTTTCTTTCTGCATTAACATATTTAAGTGCTCAATATTAAGCTAGTATTCTCCCTTGGATGCCTTGACATAACTTCCAAGAACACTGTTCATATGAAAAACGTTTTTATTAAAATGGATTGAAATCTAAATTTAGACTCAACCTAATATTTACACACTCTTCTTTTGTTGTGGGTCTTGTAAGGAAAAATAGAAATAAAAAATACGTAGAAAAGCATAAGAATAAATTAGAATTATTGCCAATAACAAAGATTTAAGACTATTAAATCTAGAATAACTAAGTACAGAGACTTTGTGTCAACAGTATATTTGTCTAACTGACACATAGATCATGTTGAGTTTTTCATGGAAATTCCAAATTCCTTTGATTCATTCAGAAATTTTGAGGTTGATTATTTTTGTTTTTGTTCCCATGGGAAACTTTGTTTCATTAACATTTTCTCTTCAAGTTTTTTACTCTTTTTTATCCTCTTTTCAGTCAATTTTGAGATATAACTACAGTAATATTTGTATCATTATAGAATTTTTGTATTACATCATTTGTGAGTTTCATATATTATGCCCATTACTCAAATGTAAGCATCTGATAATTAATTAACCTTCCATTGGTACATAAATATGTCAGATAAGCAGGATCTTTTTTCATCTCTGGAAAGTGAGATGAAGCTATAAGTTTCCCTTCTGACTACCCACCTAATGTTAGACCTGAAACACATCAGTATGTATGAGACTGTTGACATGGTGTATGGTGAATGGCTACACATTTTCTCTCTCAGTGTGATCCAACCATTCTAACATAATATTTTTATAATGTTTTGCAACAATTAGTTATTTTATTTATGCTTTTTCTTAAAATCTTAGAATGATTAGATGTTTTGCAGAAACTACATTGTCAGTATTTGAGAGAAACATGTGGCATGCAAGCCATACGTTGACCACATCAATCTATTAAAATACAAATGACAACATATAAAAAACTCAATAGATAAAATAGCAGATATAAATACAAAAAAATATTTCACTTTACAAAAATTTGCTTAATCCAATCTTCCAGATAATCTGTTTAGATCATCTGTATAATAAAAATAATCCAGATTTTAAAAAGTAATGAGTATAATTAAATCTTAAATTGGCTGAATTACTAAATAGTAAATAATACACATAATTTACAGAAATATAATTCTATAAACCTACTTCAACATAAGTTTTTTCTATTTTATTCATCAATAAATTTTGATATTTGGCAATATCATAAGCAAGAGAATATTGTTTCTTTTCAAAATATATCTTTACTGCTATTGCAAGACACCGACATTCTTCTAAAACTTCAGACTCTTTTGATCTGTTCATAATTTAAAGTGAACAATGTATTAAGTAAGTATTGATTTCTGTTAAATTAAATAAATGTACAGAGTTTAAACATATACTTTATTTCCTCAGTTAAACTTTTGGGGAATAAAGATGCTTTTAAAAATAAATCCCAAGTTGAAAACCTTCAGTACTGTTGAGGTACTGCACTGTTTAGGGTAATGTAGTTTAGTGTGGCAGGTAAAGAGTTTAATTAAGATTCTTTCTCCTCAAATTGTCTAGAGTTAGACAGCACTGTCTATTCCAGGATTCACAGAAATACTTTTTTGAAATTAAATTATAAATATCGTCAAACATTGAGGATGGGAAAGTTATGATCAAGTTCATAAATCAAGAGCTTATCAGCCAAAGAATAATTAGGTTAAAGCTCTTTACTACCTTCTTGATAAAATTCACCATCTCTTTTGGAAAGAAGTGGTGAATTTGATCCAGAAGTTAGTAAAGAGCTTGATTCCTATGAAAGCATCAAAGCAGACATGAATGACAATATAATAACTGAATTGGAAGACACTGAATCAAGTTAAATATAAAAACATTAATTACAGTATTTCAAATGTAGCTATAAGCTGTAAATACAGTCAACAAAATAGTTTTGATAATTTGGAAAATGTATAAATTAGCTATTTCTTTCAATTTTTATCCACTTGTATTCTGCTTCAAGGTCACAAACCCTGGGGATATGTATATTTTAAAAATAAACCTCCAGAATTTAATTGAGGAAATAAGGTATTTAATATTGCATATTTTATAAAGAATAAAATACACACTATCAAATAATACATAAAAATTCTTATGAATTTATAATCAATAGAAAGAATTGTAGTGTGTCATTTAATTAAAGAAAAAAATTAAGTATCAAAACAATGTACTTAACAGATTTTACATATCTGCTAATAATCAGTTTTGTAAAATTTTTTGAAAAAACGGTTATATCCGTAGAATAAAATGACTATCTTGTTAGCTACATATAACTAAAACTTTATTACTATACAAAGCGTAACATTGTGCATACAGATCCAAATGTAGCCACAGCTAGTGCATGACTGAGATTGTAGATATGACAAAGGTCAAAGGTATGGAGTCGCCTGACCAGGTCAAGGGGCAATTTGATGTGGTTTATTGCCTGGCAGTTTACATACATGATAATTCTCCCATGCTTAAGAAAATGCTGTTTATGATTTGTTCACTTAAGGATTTAGGCATTGTACTGGTTTTTGTATTTGCATAAATTGTCAAGGTTCTGATTTATTTGAGTTTGTCAGCATTCAGTTAAATTCTTCCTCTTCCTTCTCTGGAGGCTGTTCGGAAGCTATTTTCATCATTGTCTCCTTTTTTTTTTGGGTAAAGTCATTACAGTTCTTTTATCGTAGCTAATTGTGCTTGGGTGTAGACTAGTGCTAGCTGGAGATAAATTTCTATTGTTTACTATGTCATTGCACTTATCAATTTTCTTTTTGCTGAAGTTAGATCATATCTGAATAGAATTTGCCTGTTTGTTAATTTCACACAGGCATAGTTGATCATTAAGTTGATCATAGTTGAGGCGTAATGCCTTTTTATTAAGTAGCCATCATCGAGTTCAAACCTTTTGCAGGATTCAATACTGTACTATAATTACTGCTTTATATATCAAGTTTGTCCTAACCCACCTATGTGGCCAGAAATTGTAAATCCTGAAGGTAACCATATAAGTGAGGCCTTACTGTATTATGTTATTTATATAACCTTAATGTTAAATAATAAAAATATTCTTTTAAAAGTCTTACAACATAAGCACTTTTTTAGCAAGTTTCTCTGTTACATTTCTGTAAAATTTTGGATAAGATCTACCCAATATGTTTGCTACTGTTTTTATATCATACAATGCAACTTTAAATTCTTTTTGAAGATAATTAATCTGAAAGGAGAAGAAAAATTATTAATCTTTCCTTCAGAAAATTTAAAAAATAACAAGTTAAAAATAATATAATTAGTTTACCTCAGCAGAAATTCTTTTTGCAACAATAAAAATAAAGGGAGTCTTTAGAATATAATCATCTTTCTTATTTGATATAATTATATTTTCATTCTTATTCATCTTTTTCAGTAAACTATTTGCTTCAGAAAGACAATGAGCAGCCTGAAATATTATTCAAATATTAAGGAAATTTTGTTTATATTGAAGATAAAACATTTATAAAAATATTTTATAAGAAAATGTTCTTATAAATGTTTTATCTTTAATTTTAAAAACACAAAAGTTTAAAATCATTTTATAAGAAAATGTTCATAATTCAAGTAAACTTACAAATTTAATAAAGAGTTCAGATACTAACAAAATATTTCTAATAATACAATGTTAAGTTTAAATATACTAAATTAAAACTGATAAAAAGACCATAGCAAGATAAGCATAGTGAATTAACCCCAAACAGATAATGGGTAAAAACTGGTTCAAAAGTAGGTATCAGTGAGTGATTAATTACTAATCAATATTAGACAAAATTTTCATAAATTTCAAGCTTCTGTACAAAATATGAGTTGTGAATTTTTCAAAATATCAATGTTTCTTTGCATCAAATTGTAAAGTAAAAATATAAACCTGACCTTCAAGAGCAAGGAAACACAACCTATTGGTAAACTAATTCTGTGGATTGACATCAGAAGTCTATTTAAAATAGTTGAAAACATTAGTTTATTTGATTTAATTAAATAAATTGCTAGAAAAAAGGGAGAAAGGTGTTTTACTTATTAAAGAGAGAAAACTTATTAAAGTAAAAATATGTCATTTCTGAAAAAATGAGGTTCACAAGATGATGCATATTAGAAAATTTTTTGAAGTGAGATTTAAATGGAAAAAAATTACTTTTCAAAAAATGATTTCACTGGCTTAGGATGACAAAAATTTCAAAAATTTTTAGGGAATTTTATGTTACTGTACATTATATTATAAAAAAAAAAGTTATCAAATATCAAAAAAGAGTTATCAAATATATCAAATATAAAGAGATATCAAATATATCAAATAATCAAATCAAATATCAAATATTTCCATTATAAAAGACATTGTTAATGTGAGAAGCCATGTTCGATATAGACGATCTATTGAACAGTTATCAGCAACAAGTCGGTAAGACTTGCTCACGTTGTCACTGGATTGTTTTATTGTTTAAGATAGACTAAAGATCGTGAGATCTCAGCCAAGTCAGGATGCTGACACCAGTTAGGATAGTAAGAATTATTAATGTATCATGTCCTAACTCACGATATTAAACTTTAAAATAAATATAAGAAGGAGGGCTTTAAATTCAAGTGGGGAGGTATCATAAGTTCATTGATAGGTCCATACATATTTGAATTGACTAACATTGAGATTAGTATAATGAACAAATAATGAAATTTAATAAAAATAACAAAAATAGGATACAGACGTTTGAATAACTAAATAAATACTCCTAAATATTTTTACTATTCGCAAGAGAGAAAGAGAGAGAGAGAGAGTTTACAACAAAATAAATATAATACCTCTGAATATTATATTTAATTCATTCAACTACTAATTGAACTTTTTAAGGAAGTAAACGTTTGGAAATGGAAACCGTATTTCCTTATCCTCTCTTAATTTCCCTCAAAAAGTGGAAAAGTATACAATTTAAATATCAAAATATTACTTTGATTTAAAAATTTAGAAAAATAAAATGAACCTCATATTCAGATTCTCACATTAACATTAAATCATGTAACTTTCAACCTTCAAATTTAAATGTATGTACAGTACAGTACATATGGTATTACTATATACAATGTTATTTTTTAAAACACTTGAGTTTAGCTCCATACTCAATTTTATGCCACTTTTACAATTTTACAAATCAAAACTAGTGCCAGTGTGTCATCTCAGTACAATAGGCAAATTATTAGTTAGTTTGTCACACAGGTTACAGTACTTTTTTTTTACACTGAAAAAAACAAAAACAAAAATTTTGAATTATTTTTTGTTCTAAAAAACCAAGTCTATGACACTAAAATGGCAGTTTACATTTGATAGAACATGTATCCAAGACTAGTATTCAAAAACAGACTGTGAAAAATCTTTGATTTGTGACCATGACATTGAAAAATGTGAACGAGAGAGTCCATTTTCCAAAAAAATAGAAAATGTCCAATAACTTGAAAACTATGACACTTTTACTAAACACAATGTTTAATTTTCTGAACAGTCATGATATCCCCTATCCACAGGTAATGGATTATCCACTCTTTACGCCACAACCTGTATATACTGCATTAATCCTCAATGCCACCATGTATATCAAAATTGCATTAACAGTGGTATCTTGGTACTTGACTGAACAATCACAACCCTCTAAAACAAATTTTCAGTTAATAACAAATATTTGGGCTGCAATTTTAAAAAATTGTTACCTGCAATTTCACATTTCATCCGTCCATCTGGCTGTCTGTCTTGATTAATCTTGAGAATGGAGTTAGACAGACAAGAGCCTAGACCAGATATGCAAAGTTTAGGAGCAGGAGATCCCGATTAACTATATACAAACTTCCAGTTTGCACCAGAAGTTACATTATTTCAATTCAAAAATTTTCCTCTGTAAAGAGTTAGCTAGATAATGACATGACTATTGCTAACAGGAAAAGTATGATGTACAGGGACAAGACACTACTAATTTGAGGTGGAAAACATATATTTTAAATTAAATAAATTAAAAATATAATTAAAAATTGAAGCCTGGCATTGTGATGATGTCACAATAAATAATTGCTTATTTTATTTTAATTTTGTCATCAGTAAAAATGTTTTCTATGATAAAAATGAGTAACTAATTCGAAAATAAAATGAAACCTTAAAGGGCCCTTGGGGATTAAAAAAAGGGAAATCCAATGACAAAGGGAGCACATGTCCCAAGTGCCCCAATGTATGGGCATCCCTGGTTGTATGTATTACAGAGAAAAGCAAATGCCAATTTTTCCTCCCTTTTGTTTATTTTTGTTATCTCACTATAAAATTCAATTGTTTTTCAAATCTTTGAATTCTTTCAATTACTCTAGTTAAACATTTGAAAATTAAATCAACCAAATGTACTCAAGTAAATCTGTTTAACTTTTGTTTTTCACTCAGGACAAAGTACTTCAGTCAAATATTGTTTAATGAAAAATATATTTCATTTTATATTAATGAATTTATATTACATATAGAACTAAATAAAAAAAAATAATCAACTTGTATTTTTGCAGTTTAATCAATGATAAAGAATGAAAAAAATCAGATTCAATCATTAAATAATTATTTACTTACTTTAGACACATTATTCATCCTCAATGCAATAGTTGCTGTTTCATATAAATAAAAAACAGCTTTTCCCAGATAATCTGCCATTTTAAAATGTTCCGAAAGATTTTCATATAATATAAGTTTTCTTTCTTGACAGTCACAAGTTAGTGTACTGATATGGAACTTAATTTCATCACTTCTATCACAGGAATAAAAACTAAAAGTATAAAAATATATATGTTATATTTTAACAAATAAAATAATCTGTTATTGTGTTTTTATTGAAAACTTCACATTTGTAAAAACAAAATTATGATGTATGTATTTTCTGTAAAAATCTGAAACTAATACAGAGTATACATAGAAATTACAGAATTAACTACAACTCATATTTCCATACAATACAAATATTAATAATACATCTAATATATAATCTAGTATTTCTTATAAATATAGGTCAGATTTGTATGTGAATAATTTTTTATTATATGCTATGATGTTGTAATCTTGATATAACATGATATAACAAATAGATTAAATTAAGATTATTTGATAATACATGTTTTATATGCATTATTAGACAACCTTAATTTGATTTTTTGATTATTAGATAATCTTTATGATTTTTAGTGCATATTTTGCATATTTGACTATTTTCAGAACTAAATAAGTGTTTTATAAACTTTACAGCATGTTTGAATGATTGCAAGAACTAATTTTTGCATTTTCTACATTTCTGCTATCTGTGCAATGAATACTTTTTGTGTTTTACAGTTCTTATGAGAGATATCATTCCAATGTCTGGTTACAGATGAGTGTGCAAAATTCAAATGTTAAGTTACATTCTTATAATAACACAATGTAACAAGAATGTAATTGTCACAATGTAAGGTATATTCTTTAAAAGTCATAAAAATAAACATATTTTGTATCGCCATGGAAACATCTCATTTTTCAAATTTTCAAAATCCTTTGAATTACTTGGATTAGAATTAATGTAAGTGTTATGTTTATTAATTTAATAATGTTAAATTTAAATTTTTCAAAAACTTGTGTAAATATAATGTTTAATAAAATATAGGGAGATAACAATTTCAATACTAAATCTATAATTATTTAATAACTTAATAAGAGTGTTTACTCATCTCATCATTTGTACAGGGTTATAAAAAAATATATAAAGGTAGTATATACATAACTACTTTAGACTAGGATAAGGGAAACTAGGATAATCTGATCATCTTCAAACATTTTGTAAATAACTGTAGCATATATATATAGGCTACAGTTCCTACTGAAAATCTATATAAGTAAAAATGTAAATGTTTATTTGTTCAAAATCTTAAATCTCTGAAAGTTCTTAACAAACTGCTTTGAAATTTTGACACAACATTGCATTCGAATATGCACGTGTTTTTATATTATATAGATGTTGAAATTCCCCCCGTGGGGAGACGAACAAAATTAAGACTTACTGTGAAGAAATGGTCTTCTATTATTCTATTTTAAATGTGTTTTTTTGCATTTTAATAGGGTATGTCAAGACAATGTATACTAAGAAGGGATTTTTTTAGTGTAAACGAACCAGGTGTACGAAGGACTAAGTAGCTGTAGTTGAATAAATATCCTGTTTAATTTTATGGTTACTTCTTTGTCATCCTTTCTTTGTCCTCCACACCACCACAATGTAATGTTATTTGTATTCAATAATATGATTGTGTACTTCCTACATGAAACATTAATACATGTTCTGTGATGTCATAATTTTCAATTCTCATGTCATCTATTGTCACAGATTTAGACTACTTAAAAAGTTTGTTGTAATACCCATTATTAACATTTGCTCAGAGACAGAGTAAAGCACATCTCCATTTTAGCAAACAAATTTTAATGTATGTTAGTGATGCTTTTAACATATATAATGCATATTTCAGTGAATATTTATGCAAATATATTGTAATTTTAAATTACTTAAAAGAGAATCTGTTCATAACTCTTTACAATAAGATCAGTAATGTCTGTACTTAGGATAGATTTGATATTAATATTTGATGTACTTAGAATGTTTGATATTAATATTCAAATATATATATAAACTATCTGATAAAAATTGAATACTTTGTTTACACTAAACAAAGCTCGTTACTATATAAAGATCTCAGATGCATCAGACCTTTGTATAGTAATACGCATTATTATAAATGTTTATCAATTGTGTAAAAAGAAAAAACTGTTTGTTTTAACAAGCTATTTTTATCACAGCATTTCTATTGCTAATCAACTGTTTGAATCTGGATGTAATATCCAATATTCATTGAAAATTATGTTACTATATTAATGTTATATGCTAATAGTTATTACAGAAATAATTGCCCAATATTCCACTCTATGCCACTCTGACATAGAATGGAATATGGCATATATTTTATTACAATATGTATATGACAAATTCTAGTTTTATATATGTGTACATACATGCATACCTATTCCCACACGCAAAAAATATTTTATAGAAAATTTCATTTTCAAAAATGATCACATAATTGTCAACAAAATTTTTTTTCATATTTTTGCCAACTAAATATTTTATATATTTTACCAGACAAACAATTATTGTTTCTATAATTGGAACATAGTTGTTAAATAATTAATGAATACATACATATGTATGAAATAAAATCCACTTATTAAAATCACTTTGGACTCATCAGTAGCATAACTAGACTCTGCAGAAGTCTGCAATACAGGGAACTTTGTGCTGCTTAAATGTTTATACAGATTTTTATTAATACTTCTTAATTACATTACAGCAACAAATCACAAACTGGTGAGATGGCGCCACTCCTCTAGGAGTTTCCTGTGAGTCCCGGTTTGAAAAACAGGGACAAGGGTTTTTCCCGGATGGGATTCTGAGTATTGTTGCTTTTTTTTGTCGGGTGATCACTGCCATGAGCATGTGTAGCTCTCTCTCAAGTGTACCCGTAAGATTGTTGTAAATAAATGTTGTTTTAGTTTAAAACGTGGTCGTGGACTTAACTAATTCAACGCCTTCTGATAAAGACAGTCTTTGTGGAAATGGAAATGGATGGAGAAAGATGGCCAGGTTTTGTCTGACCGATGGCAGCTATCCATTACTTTCAACATATATTATCACTAAAATACCAAAAAATTTTTTGTACAGTACAAAAAAAATTAAAAAATGACTATTTTCATATTTCTTACATTGACAGACCCAAAAATATTTTGCAAGAGGCCTCAAAATTGTAGTAATGCCACTGACAAGTAAGATTTGCATATACTGAGGACAATAATTGACTGATAATATGAAGCAGTCATAAATAAGTAAATAAATATGTGAATAAATAAGACTACTATTAATGAAAACTCTAATTTTAGTGACTTGATATTAAAAGAACATATTACAACTTGAAGATTTATTTATAATTATTCCTCTTAATATAAATTAAAAATAAATCACTCCATGTATAACTGAAGTAATAAATGTAAACAATATGAATTATTATATTGTAAGTAAATAATGATTAAAATGATTAATGCTTAATGTTTAAAGCACTGATTAAGACTGATAATAATAACTAATAATGTTAAATAACTATCAACTGTGTGCTGGAACTGATAGTACAAAAAAACAGCTTACCTGAAGGAAATGATAACTACAGCTGAAAAATTCTGATATAATTAGCAAAGTTTTATAAGTATATTTTAACTTATACATTTTGGGATAACATCAAATGACTAATAAGAATATTTGTAATCACAATAAGTGGATTTTATTGTATGTATACAAATATTTATTTTACTTACTCTTCTTTGTGTTTGGTGCTATCGCTGATACTTTTCTTATCGGATAGACTTATACGTTGTGATTCCTCACATGAATTACATTTAAAACCTGCCTTCTCAATGCATTGTGCAATCTCTAAATGCATTTTCATTTTCTGTTTATCAGACATAGTTTTCAATGTTTGTTCCATAATAAAATCTGGTATTTCTAATTTCATGAAATTCAAATAAGATGATTCATTTGCAGTTGATTTTTCTGAATGATGTGTATCTTCTACAATATGATAATTTATCATCTTTTTAATGTCTTCTCTCAGCTGTTAAGAAAATATCAGCAAACAATTATGATTTTAAAGTAGTGCTCTAGATTTTGTTACAATCTTTTCTTAAATTTTTATTAAACATTGGAATAAATTTTTAAATTTAGGTTAAACCCATACTCTAAAACATTGATAAATTGAAATATGTTGTGATATACTGTCGATATTTGTCCATACATAATATATTCTTTAATATTGCCACATATGAATTATTATATTACATAGTTATTTTCAGTTAAAATATTTCTCAGATGATGTTAAATGCATTAATTAAAAAATAATCATGTGTAGTCAATTCTTCCATATGCTAATAATTGCATATACTTTCTTAACTCGTTTCTATATCACTAAGCAGAAATTAACTTCATTGTGCTCCAAAATGTATAAAATGTTGATTACCAAACAATTAGAAAAATGTGATAAAATATAAAAATTGTCTGTATTGTATCACATATTACATCAAACAATATTTATATGGCATGAGATTATAAACATTTATAAAAACATTTTTATAATTATGCCTTCTGAATAATGTTGATTATACATATGTTATAGAACATAAATCAAATAATTTGTCCAAATTAAAATTTTATTTACATAATCATTCAAAATTAATTAAAAATTTTTAAATCTCCAAACTACAACCAACTAATCAGTTTAAATACTGGATTTATAAACTCAGATAAATTTACAACTAAGTTTAAATCCAACAAACTCCTATGTACAGTACTTTTAAACATTCTTGCTCATCTTCTGGAAGCTAAAAAATATAAAATAAATTAATATAAAGTAATATATCAAAAAAATAAAATAAAATATTACAGATTCTAAAAGCATTAATTTTTCTATCCTATCAAGAAACAAATAAAATGACCAACTATTTTAAAAAAAAAATTTTCGTTTAAAGCATTAACAATTTACAAAACTGCTTTTACTCATAAATAATGCTGAAATCAATATAAACAATAACAAAATATAATAACAAGATATCTGCACCTAATACAACCATCATCAACATGCTAATGAACAAAACAACCATCAGTATTTCAGGCAAATGAAAGGTATGGATCAAAGATAGTCATACAATAAATAGGAAAAGGAAAAATCACGAAGAAAATTAAATTTTCTTTTGCTGATATAATAAATTATAAAAATGGGATAGAACTATAATAAGGCAAAATGAAAAGCTTACCTGTAAAAGACTAAGCACAGAAAGCTAAAGAGATACTATGGCTGAAGATTTTTATAAATATAAAGAACAAAGAAAAGAATAATTGACTGAAATAATGGAGCAACAAGACAGATACTGTTAGATACACCAATGATGTGCCAATCAAATAGTGCAACAAGGCTGCCTTCTTGATTTGAAGACTGTTATTTTAAACCCTGAAGGAAGTGCATGTTATATTAATATACATATAAATATTTACAATATAGAAGCAACAATAAAAGTCTTCCTATCTTGTCCTTTTTCACAACCTTGGGAATAAAACAGTCTTTATGGGTGGAGTCTACCTTTTCTTTGAGGCTTCTCATCCTGCTCGTTATGTAAAAATGTTAAAATACAATTCCCATGTGGCAGTAAAAAGGCAGACAAGAAGCCTCAAAGAAAAGGTTGACTCCACCCATAAAGATTTTTTTATTCCCAAGGTTGTGAAAAAGGACAAGATGTGAAGATTTTATTGTTCTACATTGTGAATATATATANTAAAATGCAATTTCTAGGTGACAACACAAATCACAAAAATATTTTTTAAATGTTTCAATTAATGCAAAAATTAATTAACATGGCCAAGGACTATAAATAAAGACTGTTTTATTCCTGAGGCTGTGAAAAAAGATAAGATGTGGAGACTTATTGTTGGTCTATACTGTGAATATTTATATATATATTTATAGTCCTTGGCCATTTTAATTAATTTTTTTATTAATTGATATATTTTTTGACCTACTAAATTAACAAAGAGCAAAAGTTTCTTTGTATAGAGACAATACATCTGAGAGAGACCATTAGCAGAAAGCTCCTTTTGTCTACAATCATCTTATGTTATTTGTACAACTTAAATTAAGTTAAATAAACTGATATTACATATACAGTTTCTATTCCATTGACACACTCAAGGAAGAGACCAAGGTCTGCCCCAACTAAGAAATTTGATTTAATACGGTAAAAATATTTTTTATTTTAAATGCTAAGTTTATACTATATATGAATGAATAGAATTTCAAAAAATACAATAATAATGTAAAATAATAATAAATATTCAATTTATTTTAATGTTTTAGAAAGCAAATAGGTCCAATCAGAAAATTTCTGGACATATCAGTGATTTTTACCTTATAATTTAGACAAGTTGAAGACAAAAATAATGAACATGGTCATACAGAAAGTATAGAATGAACTGGAATATCAAATTAATGTATGCCAGATCACATCTAGAGCTCACTTTAAAAATTTATAAAGTAAGATCAAAACTTTTACATTTTACAATATACCATATATTTTAATTGCATCATTAATTCATTAATCATATTAGAAAAATTTCAATAGTCTCAAAATAACACTTGCAGAATTTTCATAAGTGCATTTTCAATTGCAAGATTATTACAAATAATCTTGCAATTGAAAATAGACATATGTTACTGTATGAAATTTTGCCTTCTGTATTTCAGTTTCACACAAGTTTGCTTCAGAAAATTTAGAGATACTCAATTATTTAGGAAATTCAAAATAACTCAATACCACATAAGTACAGTCGACCCCCCTATAAGATAGAGATACGTTCCATTCTCTAGGAATCCGCTTTCTTACGAATCCTTCCAATCACAACCCGACACGTATCAAGTTTACGGACTACGGCTGTTTGAAAGATTTTCTTCCATAAAATTAATCGATTCTAGACTAATCCGACTCAACATTTCCAAAATACGTATATATTTTTTGGGAATAATCCGTATAAACTACGCTATAAACAAAAAATTGTAGGATTACTTACCGAGTGTCACCATTCGACATTGCCATTGCTCAACATTGTTTTCGTCGCGGAACAGCTCAGCAAAGAGCGGCCGATTTCTAACAACTTATTTTTCTGTGAAAACTTCGTAGAACTTCGGAGACATCATTAATATAAATAATTTTAATCGCCGTTGAATAAGAAATGTTTCTTTCACAAGAAATGTATAAAATTACAGTACTGTATTAGACTTACGGTACCTAATTTACATACTGACAGACGATAGTTAGCGTAAAAATCTCCGTAGCGTGGCGCCACGCTAGACGGCGGAAATTATATATTTAATTATAACAAAGTTACAATAAGTTAATATATAATTATATATACAGTACCTAATTTATATATAATTAATATATAATTATATGTACAGTACCTAATTTATATATAATTTATATAATACTGTCCAGACGATAGAAATCTCTCCGTAGCGTGGCGCTACGGACGGCGGGAAAGTAGTTCGGCTTCCCGATGACGTTTGAGGTGTTTATAGGGAACTTTTACTATTTTTTACGGATACCGGTAGCAATTTTTTCGTAGTTTTATAGGAATCGTAACTATAGGGACCGTAATTATAGGGGGGTCGACTGTATATACAGGTATCCCTTGCTTAATGCAGGATTTGATTAACATGTGAAATTAAATGCAGCAATCCCTTTATATACGTGGCAGAAGTTTTAATTTATGTGGCTTTACCAGCTATTTTTACTTAACATAATTACTGTATTTTAATTAACGTGATTTTGATATACATGGTAGGATAAAGATACAATTGTCTACTAGTACAGGTATCCTTTGATTAACCACGTTAATCAAAGGATACCTGTACTAGTAGACAAACTTTCTGGAGGTGGTCTATAAATGGAGCAAGGATAACAACTTAATAATCAACTATAACAAATGCTCAGCTATGTTTTTCCCTAAAAAAACCCACTACAAAAGAAACCCACTATCAAGATAAACAGAGAAAAAATCCAAATTGTTAACAACTTAAAATATCTAAAAGTCATTCTTGACCCTAAGCTTTCATGGAAGGATCATGTTTTCTATTCCTATAATAAGGCCATCAGAGCCAACCATAGCCTCAGGCCCATAGCCAGAAACAGTTGGGGCCTCAACAGCATAAACAGCAAACTCATCTACAAATGCACCATTGAACCCATCCTCTCCTATTGCTGAGAGGTATGGGAGTATGCAGTAAATAAGATCCACAACTGAAGGAAACTGCTCTCGGTTCAGCAGAAAGCAGCAATCGCAATCACTAAGTCCTGTAGCACTGCTCCCATGGACACTCTCCTAGTGATCATCCAAAAATATGTAATGAACCTCTTAGTGGGTAAGCTTTCCTCAAACATCAGCCCTGTTACCATCCACAAGATGATCAAATATCACAATCTGCCGGACACAATAAACCCCTGATTGACGAGATCTCAAATTGTGACCTTGATATCAAGAAGGACCAGACCTCCATCCACCCGGCAAACAGTATTAACCTCCAACTTTGTCCAACATCCACCTCAGTCCTTGAGGGGACTCAGTTTTTACACAGATGGCTCCAAGGCTACAGGCGCTGTCGGTGCAGCTGTACACCTGGTGGACCCCAAGGGAAACTTTTCTGGAATGCCACTTATAAACTGTATGAGGGTTGCTCAGTGAATCAAGTGGAGTCTTTAGCAATATGGAAAACACTCTGATATATCCACGACAATATCCAGCAGTTCACTGGGAAAAGGATCAACATAATAAGTGACAGCAAAACAGCCCTGCACCAGATAAAAAAAAAAAGGAAACCATAAACTCCCCATCACAAGTAATTGTATGGACACATTAAGCGCCCTTGCCGGTGTGACTCATTACCTTTTACTAGGTCAGGGGTCACTCCAGCAATATCGAAAACGAAACAGTAGACAATCTGGCAAAGAAGGCTCATAAAGTAGCCTCTACATACTCCTACACCTCCGTTCCCATCTCCTTCCTCAGAAAGGAACTCATCACCATCACTATGTCAAGGTGGTAAAATGATTGGGACAGTAGCCACACTGGATGGAATACCCACAACTTCCTCCCAGATGTCAACAGTAGGTCCTGCCTCACTTTCCTGAGTATGACTCATTCTATAACACACCCCACGGCAATTTTAAGTGCTACCTACATCGCTTCCTAAAGAATGGAAATGGACTTTGTGACTGTCTAGTAAGGGAGAGGGATGGACCCTTTCCACCTTATATTTACTTGTACCAAGTTCAATCAGCATCATCAACAACTAAGAGACCTGACAACCCAAAAAGGACACAACTGGCCCTGCCACCTCAGTGCATTCCTCGAAGACAAGGACATATACACCAAATTCGTCAAATTCATCAACAATCTAAAGTTAGCAGACTATCATCTCCCAACTGTTACCCAAGACAATACACCAGTTAACTCACTGAATAGGCACAACCAGACTCCATAACTCCAGGACCCAAGGATGGCAACAAAGAACCACTAGGACTTATTCGTCAGAAAATTTCTGGACATATCAGTGATTTTTACCTTATAATTTAGACAAGTTGAAGACAAAAATAATGAACATGGTCATACAGAAAGTATAGAATGAACTGGAATATCAAATTAATGTATGCCAGATCACATCTAGAGCTCACTTTAAAAATTTATAAAGTAAGATCAAAACTTTTACATTTTACAATATACCATATATTTTAATTGCATCATTAATTCATTAATCATTTTAGAAAAATTTCAATAGTCTCAAAATAACACTTGCAGAATTTTCATAAGTGCATTTTCAATTGCAAGATTATTACAAATAATCTTGCAATTGAAAATAGACATATGTTACTGTATGAAATTTTGCCTTCTGTATTTCAGTTTCACACAAGTTTGCTTCAGAAAATTTAGAGATACTCAATTATTTAGGAAATTCAAAATAACTCAATACCACATAAGTACAGTCGACCCCCCTATAAGATAGAGATACGTTCCATTCTCTAGGAATCCGCTTTCTTACGAATCCTTCCAATCACAACCCGACACGTATCAAGTTTACGGACTACGGCTGTTTGAAAGATTTTCTTCCATAAAATTAATCGATTCTAGACTAATCCGACTCAACATTTCCAAAATACGTATNATTTCTTGTAAGGAAATATAAAATTAGAATCAAATTTTTCATAAGTCTGTGGTGTAACAGGATATGAAACACATGTAATATAATCCTGTGAGTCCAGATATTGAATTAAGGTTTTAATCCATTGCTTATTTCCTCTTCCATATTTCTGAAGAATACTATTTGATAAATTTATTTATAGTCTTGTAACTATAAATAAAATACTTATAAATTTATATTCTTTTTATTATTTAAAATTAATACTTACCTAACAATATCTTTATGAATTCCTATAACATTAAGTATTTGGCATGCTAGTATTCCTACATAAGAAGGATCTAAAGTTGTCATTGAGATGATAGTATTTTGCCCATGTAATATCTTATCAATATAATTGGAATGGTGGACAGTCTGAGAAATTGTTAACACACAAATAATATGATGATATGCACGAGCTGCATTATATAACAGTTTCCAAGAAGCATTATCCATATTATGTGCATCATCTATTGCTATCATAATAGGATAAAGTTCCATTATCTGAAATATATTAACCATTATTACAAAACTTAATATTCTGTATATCAGAATAATTATTATACAGTATTTGTTTAATAATAAATATTCATTAATTATTTATAAAGTATAATTATTATATTTGATTCAAAAATGAAAATCATCAAAACTGATAGTTGTTCTCACTAATTCTCACTATTAAAACTTGAATAGAACTAGCAATTATTTATTGTAACATTGTCACAATGCCTGGTTTCAATTTGTAATCATTTTTTTAATTTTAAAAAGTCACATGATTTCTGATCCAGACCATGAAAGTTCATACAGTAGAGCGTCGTTTATCCGAATCAATTGGGGACTGGGGTTGTTTGGATAACTTATTTTTCGGATAAGCGATTATGTATGAAAAAATATATTAACCTATCCCGTGTTGAAATTTTTCTCTGTTGCGTGTCGCTTCGTGTTGAATTTTTGTCGATGTTAAGCCTAATGTAAACTTTTTAAAATAATAATCGTGGCTATTGTATCGTTAAAAATGATTTCTTTATGTTTTACAAACGAAATAAATACATTGAAAAATATAAAAACAAATAAAAATTATACTTTAGGCCGACTGGAATTCTTTCCGATAACCGACTTTCGGATAAACGATGCTCTACTGTATATAGTTAATTGGGTTTCCAACTGCTAAGCTTTCTGTTTGGTTTGAATTTTAATGGTGTCTTGCCTCTGTACATCATACTTTTCCTGATAACAATTAAGTCATGCCAGTCATCTATCTAACTGTTTTGGAGAAAATTTTGAATTGAAATCATGTTACCATACTGAAAAGTCATATTTAGTTAATTGGAGTCTCTGGTCCATATCTGGTCTCAATTTTCATCTAGCTCTGTTCTTGAGATTAAGAAAGGACAGCAGACAATAAACAGTGGGAATACAGCCCAATTACATATTAAAATAGTACAGTATACATATTGTAATTTTTGTTTATATTATGATGTATTCTAATAATTTATATGATTTTAATCAAAGTTAAAACTGTAGAAAGCCAATAAAACTATACTTGGTTACCTTTTTCAAAATTACTAAAAGCAATTCATAAACCATGTTTTCTCTTAATATCTTGTTTCGAGGAAGGATTGGTTCAGAATATGGAAACTAATATTTAAAAATTAAAAATAATGAATTATTTAAAATTTTAAATATAAATACAGCATTTAATTTTAATTACATTTATATCAAAATATTCATTTAAAATGCATAAAGGTATATGTGCTGTTTCTTCATTGTCTTTCAAAAGCATATTTAAAAGTTTTTGTTTTATGTCAAAGGAAACATCTTTGAATTGAAGCAATTGATTTAATAATAATACTGCAACACTAAATGAATTATGTTTCTTTGACATTATAGCTTCGCAGGTAATGACTCTAATAAAAAAAAATTATATAATGAATCATTTCTCATATTTAATTATTAATAGATTCTCATCAACTAATTAAACGTAACAAAATGTATGGCATGTTTAAATTTAATAAACATTAAATTACCACATGTTATCTTGAATTACATGTTATAATAAAATTAATTTTCTATAGTAAGTAAAATTCATATAAAATTCAAAATAAATTCTACAGAATAAAAATAAATATATAAATTATACTTTATTTTTTATAATTCTATTATAAAAAATGTATTTAAGTAATAAACTGAGCTATTGAAAATGATAATTATCTTCAGTAGCTAAATACATTTGTAAATTCTTTATGTCACATACAAAACTACATTTTAAATATTTTAAGCCACAAAAGGATGAAATTATCTAGATTACATACTATAAAAAAGAAACTTTAATTTTAAAACACAGTGGTAGCTCGTACTTCAAATGCTAAATTTGAAAAAAATTTGCTTCAGAGTTTGAACTGCACTGAAAGTGTAAATGCAATCTGTTATGTTCCCAAGTTGGCTCTTTCTTTTTTTTTTTTTTTTTGTTGTTGTTTTGTTATACAGTATATATTGTGTGTTATTCATTGACTTTTAATAATTTCTTCTTGCAATTTTTCTTTGTTGACAGTTTTTGAGTGTCTCATATATTTTGTATCCTTTAGTTCAAAGTTTTCTTAATTGAACTTTTTACACTAGAATTAACGTGTTCAAACTTTAGCAGTATATTCCCCATACACATTAGAATTTCTTTTTACTGTTTGTATAGTGTTATATTCTTTCCAAAACTCATAAAGCATAACATGCCTGATATGCTTTTTATCTGAAGACATTTCAACTTGATTTTATATGAAGTAAATGTGAAGTAAAATAAAATACTGATGGTGCAATTGCATTTCACAGTATTTCAACAAAAAACCATCAGTATTAAAACAAAATGTGACGTAAAAAGCTTATTGTATTGAATTAAAAAGCTGTGAAATTGTATTCTTTGTTTAGAAGCTTCTGAACAAAGAATACAATCTCACATTGGCAATAATGTGTTAAATTTCACAACTGGTATAATTAAATCACACATCTGTTAAGTAACAACAGTTGTTAAAAATAGGCAAAAACTTCATATTCAACTCAATATAACCTTTACTTATTAACTACAGCACTCAATAAATGTGTGGGAGCAACAAAGTTTAAGAAAAAGGTTGTGATGTTGGTGACTGAGATGAAAAATTCATATAAAATTCAAAATAAATTCTACAGAATAAAAAATAAATATAAAAATTATATTTTATTTTTTATAATTCTAAAGGTTGTCTAATTCTATTATAAAAAATGTATTTAAGTAATAAACTGAGCTATTGAAAATGATAATTACCTTCAGTAGCTAAATTTGTTAACAAATACATTTGTAAATTCTTTATGTCACATACAAATTACATTTTAAATGTAACAAACTACATTTACTGGGACACATGAAACTGGTACATGTGTAGTAGATCTGGTGGCCATGTTTAAGATGCTAAAGTCAATGATATGCAACCAGTAAATGCAATTTTTATTTTATTATACAGTATTTACATATTTTATTTATTGTTTTCATGCTTTAATTTATTATTAGGGCATTTAATTGTTATTTTTATCTTAAAATTATATGCATTTACAATTTTAAGTTTATTGAAATGAATATTGTTTATGAATTAATTCACTTTTCATTAATTTTAATGGGAAAAATTGATTCAGACATGAATGAATCAGAGTTTGAACAGTCTCCTAGAATGAATTAAATTCTAAGTATGAGGTACCACTGTATTGTTCAACAAATTCACACACACATGCACACAATATATATATCTTCATTAGTGATGCAAAATCAAAGTAAATACTTAGAACAATTAATATATGTTACATAAAGTTTGATGATTTTATTGAAATTAAAAAATTTAAATCTAACTTATAATTGAAATTAGCTGCCTCAATAGTTGCCCAATTAAGAAGCATTTTAAGATCAATTCCTGGTTCTCCTTTTATTATAATAAAATGGTGAGAGACAGGATAATAGATAATCTTTTGCTCTGAATCTTCTAAACTTTTCTTTAAACAATATGTTATAACTGACTTTTCCCAATTCATTCCAATGCATGGATGTGGAATTTTTTCAATTTCATGAAGCTTTTCCCTAAAATTTTGTAAAAAAGATAATTCAAAAATTATATATGAATATAGGATAAAAAATTGAATATAAAACAATTATTAAACATATAATAATTCATACTGAAGATATGCAGTACTGAAGATCAAAATTAATACACAACAAAATCTATTTATTGTAATCACTGATATTGTTATCAGTTGTCTATCATCATCAGAATTGGCATGTCCCCCCAAAACATACAAGTTAAAAGACACATAAAACTTCACTTAATTAGAGTTTTGGTTGCAGTTATCATTATATTCAGGTAAATAGGCATTTTTAAGCTGTCTTTTAATGCTATCAGTCTCAATATTTGATAACATTTTTGATAACAAACAATAATTATAATCACTAATCAGTTCTATAAATGTTAAATGTTCATTATTTTAATCATTATTTGTTTAGGAGTGCAGTAGTTAAAACTATTGGAATTTCTTACTGTGAAAGTCGCGTGAGTGTACAATTGTTCACGTGAAGCAGTATGCAAATAAATAATAACAAATATTTATTTCTTCTACTACACGATTGGAAAATCTACAGGATTCTTTTCGGATTTCAACTCTTAGCGTTATACAAAATCCAAACTTGGAGAGGAATCGAGTAGTTACAGATAAAAAATAACACGCTTGTGACAAATAAGAAAAGACGGACTTGTAACCTTATAACTAATACTTATACTAAATTATAAACTAAAAGAGGAAAGGAAGAATAATGAAAGGTCTTAGAATGACAGAGGAGAAGGTTAAAAAGAATACATGGGTTTTGTTTGGTACCGATGCTCTTCTGGTGGGAAACCACTATGAATCGTTTTCCTTTTGATTGTTATTTGGATCTCTTCGATAATTCTCCTTAGATCACGGATGTTTGTCTCTCCCTTTACGTTGGTAGGGCTTTTTCTCCTTTCTGCAGGCTACCTTCATCTCCCTTTGTCTTACTAGACTACAATCAGGAGCGCAACTTTTACACATCAGCCTTCCTCAAGAGTCCGACCCCAGAACGAACCTTCTTATCATTCTCGTAGCCCAGGTTCTCTCTTTCCATTGTTCATATGGTTCGTGAAAAGGGTTACCCCACCCACAGGAAAGAATGTTAGTAGAAAATTCAAGAAAACAAAGAAAGAACAAAGAACAAAGAAAACTTAAAACAAAACTTATATCTAATATATACAATAATATGGCATATTGCCACATTATTTCAATATATATTGAATGAATTACTATTATAATTAATAAATTTTTAAGTTATAAATGTTTTAATTGCTTTAACATGTTCTTTTAATGTTAGAGTTAATGCAAACAGAATTTGTTCTAATTATATTACTGTTTACTTACTTTGCTTAATGTTATCAACTGATTATTATTATCAATTTCAAAGTACAGTAGAAACTTGATTATCCAAAACAGTTGCAAAAAATAAATAAATAAAACAGAATGTATAATTGTACATAACACAGAGATCAAACTCAATGTAACTGCAAATTGTAATGCTGTGAAACTAAGCCATAATGCATAACATTATATTAGATTTTGATAAATTAATTTATCTTCAAATATAGTATTTGCATTACAGTATTTATAATTTATGAAACTTTAAGCGCTTGATGTACCCAAAAAAAAAAAAAAAAAGTTTCTGGAAAATCTGAAAGATCTCTGATCCCACCAAGTTCAGAATATAATAAGTGGAATAGCTGTTCTATATATATTATTTTAAATACAGTGTATATATATATATATATACACTGTATTTAAAATATGTAAAATAAAATCATTTGTAACATAACAGATTATATTACTTCAAAAATTAATAATTTATAATTTTATGAATTTATTTATTTATTTATTATATTCTTTATGTTCAGAATATAATAAAAACTAACTTAATAACACCATTCAATAGAATATAGCTTACTATATTTTTATTATTATAATTATAGCTTAATATCAAATACAGTGGGTGATCGGTTAACGAACAAATCAGATAATGAACACTTTCGCAAAAGAGTTTTGTGTTTCGACAACGAACACAAGTTTGGATAACAAGCACCTCACAGAACAAACACAAGAAGCAGCGATGTAAAATAATAAATACAGATTGGTCTTCAGGCAACAATTCGAAACTTTTCGGAGCATGGGAGATGTTGACATCGACGCTCAACCCAGTATATACCGCTCAGACAGTATTTCTCCAAACTTTGAAACTCTCCCTTGTAATTCCAACCTTTTATTTTTCTGACAGAAACAATTCTATTATAGTATTCACGAGACTGTTGGGCAGGCACTAATTAAGTTTTGTATGGGTATTTATTTTCAAAAGGTGGGAGTATAATAGCAAAGGTAGAGAGTGGGCAGATGTTTGATGTTGCTGGGCAGTATGGGTTGAACAGGTCTACAGTAGGCCACAGTTCAATCTTATCTAAGAAAGATACTGTATAATCAACAAGACTCAAGCAAATTAAGGAGTAACAAAAATCCCATCTGAGAAATAAAGAACATTGAAGAGCTCATAATGGAACCTGAAACTGATCTGATGACAGAAGAATGCCAAGAACTCTTAAGTGAAGAACACCAAGAGACTTGGCGAGATATGTTTTCTTCTGAAAAAAAGGATTAATGCCAATATCTGCTATTAAACATCTTTTGAAGAAGTGGGAGGATGTCAGAATAATGGTCTTAGAAACCAGGTTGAGGTTAATATGTTTGTGGATCTCTACAATTATAATGCTATTAATTACTTCTGAAAAATCCTAAAGAAGAGAGAAAAGCAATCGACATTAGACAGATTCTTTAACCCCCACAAATAGAAAAAAACATGACTAATAAAAATTCAAGACTGTAGATATGTATTTTTATTATTACATATAAATAAACAAAAGTATACATATTTTTTTATTTTTTGGGGTCTCCAGAACAAATTAATCAAATTCCCATAAAAACCTATGGTAAATCGATAATCGGTTAACGAACAATTCGGATAGCAAACAAAGTCTTGGAACGGATTATGTTCGTTAACCGATCACCCACTGTAATTACTGTTATTAATTAAAAAATAAACATTATATGAAAATATTTTTAAATTACTCTAAATCTTTAGATTGAAATTCATAAAGTAATTTCACATGTTTCAAGATATCAGAATTCTTCAATGAGACTTTTATAAAATTTTCTTCTCCTAGCATAGGTTGTGCTTTGTAAAATGTATTACTATCACATATGATTCTATAGTTTGAATACAAATGCAATATTCTGAAAGCATTGTTTATTACTTTACCAAATACTGAAATAAAAAAGAAAGATTTCATAAGAAATGATAAAATTTATTTTCTAATTTATTAAATAAAATTAAAAATAAATATTCTATTGTATTATTAAAAATATGTACTTTAAAAATTTAAAAACTAAATAGTTCATTAGTACTGTGTTAAAAAAAATTATAATACAAAGAAGTTTGTTAATCTTTTACTCAATTATCTGAAATATTTGGTAATCCTGCATGCTATTATTCTGTGAATCAGAATGTTTGGACAGAGATAATACATTTTGTGTTCAATAATGTGCACAATTTATATATTTTCTTTCTCACAGGCCAATGCACAGCTATAATCAATTTACTGTAACTGTGCTTAAAATGAAGGAAACCAGCCATTTCATCATTGTATGCTACAGAATGTATCCTTCCATGCTACCTGTCTCATTGTAGAAGCAATAGCAATGCTCTAATAAAAATGTTAACATCCATTAGGGGCTTTTCATAAATGACATCCACACTGGAAGGGAGGGAGAGAGTTATAACAAGACAGTGTAATCTTTGTGTATTCTTTGTTTCTTTGTTACATAACCAGTTATGCAAGTCTAACTAGTTCTTACTATTCTCCAACAAGCAACATCAAGTCTAACAAGTAATGCATTGTATCATCTTCAGACTCATTATAGGGCATATACAAATAAGTGAGAAGCATACAGTAGTGTGTACTAGTACAAAACATACAGTACGTATACAATGTTAAGATCATATATAACTTATTGAATTTTACAAAAATACAAAAAGTCCAGTAATCTGGTATTTTTGATAATTTGGCACTACTCTTGTCTCATAAGTGTCAGATTAATGAACTACTATTTTATCTTTTAATTTTAATATTGGATATAATTATCCAGACTAATGTATCATTTTGCCACTGTTAATATTACCATTAATATAATTGAAGAGGTATGGAAAAAAGAGGTAATTGACATTTTCATTGAGTTATTGATATGGAAAAGTGAGGAAAGAAACAATCTATTCTGCATGGTTTAAGACTTAACAGTCCAATTTCATTGATTTTCTATAGAAGAAGGAAGGTATCTGACTTCTTTGACACCTGGCAGATTGAAATAATGAAATTTGCCTCATCATGCCATGTGAATATGGTTTATTCAATCATTGATGAGGCAAATTTCATTATTTCAATCTGCTTGAATTTTACAAAAATACAAAAAGCTTGTGATAAACACTGGAACTGCAGCATCCTCAAATAAAAATAAAATTACAAAATAATGTCTCAGTTTTTATTACATAGTAATTAGGTCTATATAAATTATTATGCATGATTAAAATGAATGTTTTTATCAAAATTAGCACCAATCAAAACAGTAAATGAAATAATAATGATTCTATTAAGATTAAGATGCTATACACTTTCCTGTGACAGCACTGTTGAACAGTGTAGTGTTATCTCCCATAGCTACCACTCAGGGAACAGACCTGCTCATTCAGCCAGCGCATCCCACAATTCAATGAAATACTTGATATTGTACTGTCACTGTTTAGCAATTCTGATGCAGGCAGTTTGGCTGCATGGCACGAATTACTTACTGAGTCATAGCAGAAATGCAGAGTATTCTATGAACTGTAAATGTTAATATGAAAAAAGGAAAAATTTCAAATATTAAATTACTTTATTTTAATTAAATTAAAAAAATATATTTTATGAATGGAAAAAGAAAAAAAA